TCAGGGAGTTTTTTTTTCATTGTCAATTGAAATGATGTTACAAGTGATAAAGGAACGCATTCGAAATTTTCATCTTCAAAAACCTTCAAATACTCAAGAAGCATTGCATTTTATACATTATCACCTGATTGTTTTCAATTAGGTTAAAAGTTGTGTTTTGAATTAAGATGATAAAAAATATATCCATTAAATGAAAAAGGTGAACATAACGAACAGTTATCGATCTCATAATTCCTTCAAACAATACCAATCGTTGACAGGGCAAAAAATATACGGACCCCTGGAAACACTACAGGGGGATCAGGTGCCTCGGAGGAGTATGCTTTTCCCGTCGACCGGTCACACCCGATGTGAGCCTCTTGTATTGAACAGGTCAACAGAGTGTCCGTAGATAAATTCAGTATTAAACAATAACCTAACAATTGGTATATAAATATAAACTTTCGACAAAACGATTGGTTGTATTTGCAATTTAAACTCGTAAAATTTGCCAAATTCTGACTTTAAATGACATTGTTGAAAACCCTGTAAAGTAACTAATTTGTCAGTAGCCTGCCTTGGTTTAAAATTAATGTGGATTGTACAGAGTATGCTTTTCGTAATGAATCAGGTGGGAGACATACCCACCATATGCTGTTGATATTGGAAAGTTACTACACCGCGGGTATTTGGCGATGGAGAAACTGAAGTCGTCTATAGTCAGTAAAACATCCAAATATGAAACAAATTTGGTAGACTGGTGTGCTTCATTTCGAATTCACTAGAATATTTAGAGTCGATAAACGAATTAAAAATAACTATTGATAAAACCATGCAAGTCGATATACATTATAAATTTCGAATATAACTCCACAGCAAGAGATTTCTTCTTATATGTAGAAGTTTTTCACTCTTTTTAATCATGCCATATTTAGAGGCTTTTGCGCAGAAGTTTAATGCAGCCAAATAAGAATACTGTTTAAAATCTTATGTATTTTTCTTCCTAGAAAGTGTGACTTCTGACGAAAATGTCACTGATCATTCCGATAGACTGTAAGACTTATATTGCCTGTCTTCATATTTAAGTATGATACCACTGGAACTTCACTTTCCTGAAATTAAAATCTTGGGTATAAGATCCTGTTTGCAATGTTAATATGCAGAAGCTTAAAAAACGATACTGAAAAACTACATCAGTTCATTGAATAAGACGGAAGTTATATGGCGTTGCAAAAATTCAAATTCCTATCTGTTCATAAAGTTTACATCACTCTAAGTATTACATATACTAATTAATCATTAAGGTTAAAATCAGTCATATACTAATTAATCATTAAGGTTAAAATCAGTCAAATCTGATTTTCCAATAAACGCATTATCCACTTATAGCAACAAGATTTAGGATAAAATTCAAAATATCAAAGTGGTGTCTATAATTCTGAATCAAAGATCAAGCTCACGATGTGACTAATACTTCATAAATAAAGGACCTTTTTAGCATACGATACATGTGTATGCATGCAAATCATATAAGAATAATCATTGCATTTCATAACTTGTAAAAAGTAAGGAGTAAAATCTATCTTCATTACTGCAGTATTGAATAACCTCAAATGTAACAATGCACTTATATCTTATTGAAATACATTTGTATAATGAAATATGGAGAGAAGGAACAGTATTCAAGATCAAAGTCCATTAAAACAATACAAATCGGGAGCAGAGCAAACACGGACCAATACAGACAAACAAGCAAACACAGAGCAAACACGGAAAGAGTGAACTTTAACTGATTATGTTGGTATGATATTATGAAGCTAAAAAAAAGTTTTAAAAAAGGAATTTTGTGAAAGATAAAATTTGAGCGGGGGAATGGGTTACACAATGTGAAATGAAATTTTCACAAAGATTTTTTTGGAGAAAAAGTATTTTGAACATTTGAAAGGCACAATCTTCAGTCATTTTGTTTCATGACATTTGCTTCTTTTTCAATGAATAAAAGGTTATAAAAAAAAAAGTCAGAGAATGCCTTGTTCTGTATATAGCTATGACTCCCTCATGGGCAAATTGGAGACGCAATTTAAATGCTCATCTATTTTGAAGCCATAAATTCAAAATATAAAAATTATGGCTTTATGTGATAATAAACATAAAATTATTATAGTGTTAATTAGACAACTCATTAGAAGTAAACATTGAAATACAGGGAACATTGCGATGTCTTATTACAACTATTGATAAGAATTTACCAAGAGAGGATTCAAAATTCCTCTCCATTATGCTAACAATAGAGAACGTTCCTAATGAGAAATCACACTGTCCTTATCATAATTATATTTTTTACGTATTATATAATTATAATACAATATAATTATAATGTATATTAATTGAATATTTATGGACATTATGAAAATAATTTCTTTTAAACAGAGAGGAAAGAATTTAAAAAAAAAATTGGAATTCCATAAACTGAAAAACTGGAAATGTTTTCTTTTAAAAAAGGAAATAGTTCAATAACAATATTTCCATTTTTATTGTTGATGATGACATACTGAAATGATCAAAATGAAAGATTTTTCTTTAACTTTCGGAACATAAGGTTTATTCATTATAACAAAAACCTTAATTTTTTCAATCAACTTGATTTGTCAATTTAACTTCAGATCCTGATATAATCTTATAGTACTTGCATTGTTTTTTAAGATAAAATTATTCATGACTTTTTAAGGAATTCATTTTGAATCCGGATAGATATTCTTTCTTTTATATGTTATACAATTTAATCAATATACCTGTTCAACGTATGATATGAATAAATACGTGTGACATTGTTTTTAGAAATATAAAGCACCCTGCCTTATTATAGAGGGAGTTTAGTCAGGGTCCCATCCCTGGTAGCTGCTCTATATATCACCTTTAATGCTATAGATCTGGTAAATAAATGGGAAATTCAAGATATATTCAAGAAAATCTTTGTCTCTGTTTTTCATAATAATGATCGCAAATCTGTGGTTTTCAAAACTCTTAGAACAGATCATAATTGCAATAGGATGTTAATGGCAGTCATTCATCTGTTTCAAAAGGTTCAACAAGCCATAATTAGCAAACCCTGAAGACAAGATATGGGAAATTCCCTATCATCATTCACTTGACGGTACGATGGCCTATTATAGGAAGAAAAAAATGACTGATTAATAATTTACATTAAAAAGAATTTTTTGCCTGGAAAAAGGACACAGAACTTCAAAACCATTCGACAGCATTTGTGTGAACTTTAATTTTCCTCAAAAATTTTAATTACTGTCATTTTGGATAAAATTTTATCCTTGTCATTAGATAACTATTAATGACATGTATTTTCTTTCTTACCAAAGGTTCGACTTTTTTATTTAGGCAGGAAGTAGCGGGAGGGGGGGGGGGTGATGGCTTGTCTTGCAGTTTTTTAAGAAAAGTCTTTTGCTATTCAATTTTTTTACTAAAATGACGGTTGCCTCTCTCCACTTTTCTTTCCTGTGAAAAGAGATATTAAACCCTTTCATCTGCAGAAAATATATTTTTGTTCAGGCAGTTTTTCCTTTGTTTTATTTTGGCTTGGTTTTTATTTATTTATTTTTTGCCTTGTCAAAGTTCTTTTATGCACCTTACTGCCCCCTCCCCTCTCAACCACCACGTTGAAACACTATGTTACGTCCTTGTGATTGTGTTATTTGATTATCTTTTTTCAGGAAAGATTTATTGTTTTTCTGCCAAAGCACTATATCTTTCCATGACGATATATTGTCAATATGCACCCAACTTGATCACAGAATTTGCATTCCACTAGCAAATGTCATTGAGCGTTGCCTTATCGCAAGCCAAACGAAAAGAAAATCATAAATAATTCTGAAAGTAAAGAATATTCCGCATGCGCATCGAAAGACTATGGTCTAAATATCCTTTGTGGACACTACATGTATATTGATATTTTATAATTATATCCTGCCTTGAAAAAAAAAATAAAGGACATATTGATTGTTGTGCTAGTATAGGATAAAATGAAGAACGTTTTGTTTTGCCTATTTATAAATTCAGTTGTAAAACTGCCCCTACTTTTGATTCTCTGAAAAATCATATTTCATTTTTATACAGTAACATATTTTACTTACATGTTTATTCACAATTACTCCACTTTATTCAACTGAAGATCTTTTTTTTTTTCAAGTGAGCTTTTACCAACAAAGAAGAAGGTACGATTTTAGCTTTATCGTGCCCTAAAAATTTAATGTTTTCAAAACGTTTTGAAACCGGCTTAAATATTAGTTGAGTATATGACTGTGATAAACCAGGAAAGAATTTGGCATGAAGGAGTACCATTCTGGAAACATGACGTCTTTAATTTGATGCATTTCTCTATTTTAAAAAGCCTCAACATGACCTATTTCGAGGGTTATTTTCGTTAAGAAAATAGTGTCCACAGCCGTAGCCCACTTTAATTTTCGGATATGTTGTGTAAAATTCTTTGAAAAATCACATATTTCAAAATCTTTGTGGGCAGTGCCTGTGGACAATATTATCTGAAAGAAAATTACATTGAAAATTCATCTGCAACTTTTATAGAAAATACGGGAAAATGCACAAGTTTATAAAGTCACAATTAGCATTTAGAAGATCATGTGAGAAAATGATTTGTATGATCTTTCTGCTTGGAATTTCAATGATTCAGAAAGCATAAGTTTAAATTTTTTACATCACTTTCATTTTTAAAGAAAAACACAGGACAAGATTTGTATTGAAACCGTATCTTGGTTTTTTAACGTTCGTCTATGTACTTCTGCTCTCTCAAATTAACTCATGACAAAACTATACAAAACAGATTAAATTCAATTCTGATGTATTAAATCAGCCCTTCTATATACCTTGTCATGAAGTGATGATGCTGAATCAATCTGTCTCATAAAAGGCTCGTGCACATCTATTACATGCCAACGAATGGGTGTCCGCTGAGTGACTCTAACACAATCTAAAGTGCTAAAGATCAATACCACCTTTGCATCGCCAAAGCATATATTAATATTAGAGTTTCTGTAGTTACAGCACATGATATTGCAATACAGCAGATTTGTCTGTGCTCACTTTTTGTTCTTAAAAACAAACGCGTTGTGTGATTTACGACTGTGTCAGCGTCATAAGTGTTTCTTCTCTTTTTTTTTCTTACGAGGAAAGAATGCATTATCTATTCTAAGGTGAGATATATTTTTCTGTATGTTCTTATTTTTTTTTTCTTTTATTTTTCAACAACCCCAATCCTTGAAAAAGAATGCTATATTTGGACTGTAAATACCTTGATTAATTGTAGAACTTTTCAGGTGATATACTTTAATTTACAATTTTTAAAACTGTAAGCTCTTGATAATTCAAAATTTCTTAACTTTAACACGGAATTTGAAAAAAAAAGGAAAATATTATGCTAAACTAATACAACGATTTTCAAAAGTTATCCCTATTAATCGAATGAACAGATTCGACAAATATCGTAAATCATTATTAGCATAGAGGAAACAAATTGTTAGAACTACTAAGTTATATGAAAAAATTGGATCAACTTAAGAGTGATTTGAATCGCCTCTGTGATTTTTTTCCAACAAAAGTTGCCCTTTCAACTATGTTCTGTAGGTCGGACTGTAAAAACCTTTTTTTACGTTACATAGCATAAAAAAGAAAAGGTAATGACCATTTGATTTAGATGATATAAGGACATTGTATCAGCATTCATTCAATATTCTTTTGCAATTAAAAAGCTGATAAAAATAGATTTAAATTAAAAATTTAAAAAAAAAGTTTTAAAAAATCAAAGCTTAATTAAGAATGACATCTAAAAGTACATTAAATTCTAGCTAACAGTGACATGCTGATTTTTGCTAAGCATATAAAATATATTCTAAACTTATAGTTTTTTGTATTGCAAAGGTTGTATTATTCTAATTATCTTCAGAGAGATACGTGAAGCAGAGTAACATAGCTCTATATAGCAATGCAACATATCAAAAATGTCAAGTTTTCAGCATTCAAACATTGGTTTACAAATTGATCATTTTCGAATTCATTTTATTAAAAAAAATTCTTAATTGGAAAAAAGAGTCTGAGGAGACAAGTACATTTTAAAAAGTGAAGATAACGAACAGTGATTGATCTCAGCAAACTTCAAACAATACAAATCTGTGAACATGTAATGAAACGCGGACCCCTGGGAATTCCAGAGGTGGGATCAGGTGCTTAGGAGGAGTGAGCATATCCCCTGTCGACATGTCACACCCGACGGGAGCCCTATGTATTGATCTGATAGGCGGAGTAGTCTATATTCAAATTTAGTATAAAAACAAAGGCGTAACAATTGGTATGAAATATGTTAGTCAAAATACGGCCAATGATAGATTATATTTGCTTACAAGGTCATTATAACAATAAAATTTACGAAATGCTGACTATTTAAGAGATTTTTGGAATATCTGAAACATTAAATTATCTGTAAGTAGCCTGCCTTGGTTTAAAAATTGATCGTATTTAGAGCATGCTCTTATAGCGGAATATTAGTACATGAATAAGGTAAATTGACGCTGGAAGAGCTGAATTCATCCCGTTTGACATACAGTTTAGTTGTTGGTTGACCCTTATCGTCTATAGCCAGTAAAACATCCAAATATGAAACAGATGTGGCTGACTCTGTTGTGTCTTTTATGTCGAGTTCAATGGGATATATCGAGTCGACATATGAATGTAAATAACAGCTATATTGTTATTTGATAAAAAGCCGTCGATATATCTGAATGTCGAGTTGAAGGCCACAGCAAGTGTTTTCTTTTCTCGTATAGAATTTTTTAAATAAATTCTGCTTCAAAGTAGTATAAAAATAGGTCGGCTAATAAAGCAGCACAATTAGTGCCCATCGAAATTCCAGCAGATTGTCAAAAAGGTAAATTTTGCTTATGTCGCTTAACCTAACGTAGTCCTCACATCAATGTAGGGTCATAAAAGCTTTAATGAACATTTTTTATCTAGAAAATACTGTAAGCAAAAGTTTGTTAGCTAAAGGGAATCGTTAGCTTTGAAAGAGAATTGAATATTATGTTGCTCAATGAATGCCAAAGACAGGAGAGGCCCTGTTAAAGTTCATGTTTATAAAGCATTTTGCAGGATTCCAAATGTAACATTTCAATATCTCTTCATATATTATACATCTCACAGGTAACAGGGATATGACTTATCATCCTCATGTGTTATCACTTTAATAATTATATATTAAGCAAAAAGAAGCATTTCGTTGCAAATGTAATTTTGTACTTCAAGTGAAGAAAGAGACCAAGTAAATAGCTCTTATTCACAGTATATCTGCATTAATGCTCTTTTGTTGATTGCACAGAATGTTAATTTATAAGCTTTAATATGCTTGTTCGTGCTTCCTGATTGAATGCTGGGCACGTTAGTTATGCCATTCCTATGCTGATTCAATTGATTAGTGATATTTATTCTATGGAATGTTTTTTAAAAAGTGTTCAGTGAAATCACTAATTTTCTTCGGGGCTTAGATTTTTTTCAATTCTTAATGTGAATGAACCCAGGAATTCATGTCCTCAACGAAATTTAAATTGCAAACTAGAATATGGTGTTCCTTATTCAGCCAAGAAATAAAAAAACAAGCTAATTCAGAGAATTTGTGTCCCCCGCTTAGGGAAAAAAGAAGAGCATGCGCAGTTCGGGGGGGGGGGGGTCGGACCCCCCCCCCCCGGGTTTGTAGAATTATTAAATGTATACATATATATTGAAGCAAATAAAAAATGCCAATATGGATATAAAGATTTGATTGCTTATTCTTTAATATGTGTATAGAACATTCTTCTTATATAGAATATTTATCACACTGTCATAATGATTTTATGAGTTTGTACAAGCCAGACGTCATAACTTTTTCATTTCACATGCTGAATACTATCATTTAGTAAATCCCAAAAAAAAAAAAATCCAAAAAAAAAAAGAGGATCGTCCAGGATTTGAACCCAGCACCTCTCACATACTAAGCGAGAGTCATACCGCTAGACCACGTAGACACTTGATTATGAAGTAAATTATATGCAAACAGTAGGCCATTATATAATGTTTATATTCACGTTCGATATTGTCAAAATTTTACACAATACATGGTGTCTAATTTAGCCTTAACTAAACAGTTCTAACAGATGTAATAAGAATATAAAGTCCGCCGACAACCTGTATTATACGTAATAACTCTCCACATGCCCCTGTGCTAAAAATAGTGCCAAGCGACTTTTAATGCAATAAATAATAATAATAATTAAAAAAAAGAACGGGGCGGGACACTTTGAGAGGGGGCGAGAGAGACCCTAGAGAATTATGGTATAAAATTTCATTGCAAAAGCTCAAAAGCTTCTTGAGCTATCGCCCGGAAACAAAAAGTTTCACACAGACGGAATGTATAAATTTTCAACCTTGAACTTTGACCTTTTGACCTCAACATCAATAGGGGTCTTCCTTAGGCCACAGGGGGTTGTTATGTAAAATTTCATTGCAAAAACTCAAAGGATTCTCGAGATATCGCGCGGAAACGAAAGTGCTAAAACAGAGTTTATGACCTTGACCTTTGACCTTTTGACTTAAAAATCAATAGGGTTGGTTCTTCTTTAGGCCAAAGGGAGTTGCTATTGAAAATTTCATTGCGAAAGCTCAAAGGGTTCTCGAGATATCGCGCGGAAACGAAAGTGTTACAGACAGACAGAAATACAGACCGTCACGGACGGACGGACAGACAGACCCAAATTAATATTCCCCACTTTCAGTGAAAGCGGGGGACAAAAATATTCGAGTCTCTGAGAAATAACATACAGCAAAGAAGACCCAGTGAATAACGTGTAATAGTTTTAGTTTTATAATATTTAGTTGTACCATCAACATTTTGAATATAATCACGTCAGAGATATATTTTGGAATAAATTTTGTGAAGATATAATTATTCATCCCGAATGATTAGATACTTTAGGAATACATTTCCATTTCTGGAACAGTCTCTAGGCAAATCAGATAACCCTATCAGAGGTCAATAAAAGGTTGTTAATAGATATGTTGTTTACAGATTTTGGAAAATCCGAACTCTTGAGGATTGTTCATAAATGTTTTAACCGTGATCTGCAAAAAAGCTGAAAATAATCTATGAGATTTTATTCTCAAAAGCAACAGAAGATCAAACGGGGAAACACAGAGAAGTTAATAACTAACTACAAGTAATCCAAGTCTGAAAATTCAGTATTTGCATAAAAATAGAAAAGCCACATTGATTTTAGCCTTATATTTACTAAGATTATATTATTCTATCGAGTTTTCTATTGATCTTTTGAAGTTTTGAAATCCATGTGAAAACTTTTAAGTTATTTGTTTCCCATTAAAGTATCGCTTATAGATGATGGAAAGCTTTACCATCGTTAAAGAAAATATAGGAATGTTTTTCCTTTTGATGAAGTAAGATAAAATGCTTTTGGCTGATGCTGTCTAGTTTTTCTTTCATTCTGACTATGAATACTACATTCCAAAAGTATGGTGTCATTTTATTCAAAGATGAGACCTCAGAAAAGTTAAAAATTCAGATGTTGGAATCCTTTTCATTCTATTTCTATGGAAAATAAACTTTATAAGATGTAAGAGTAAAGAATACTAAACGTATGTAAAACTTAACTAAATAGATCCTGAAAATTGGCAAAAAATTTAATTTAATTTAATTTCAAAACCCCTTGTTATTTCAGTAAACTAATCAATTCTCTCCGTGCCACCTTGTTTTATCCTGTCTGAGGCTAGGAAAAAATTCTTATACACAGCTGATTTAATTTTTGCCTAGACTATTGAAATACTTCTTATAATCCTGTAAACTCGGTGCTAAATGCATAATTAACATATTTTGATCAACAATATTTCATCATTATTTTAAAAAAGGATGCTTACTTTTCCTTGGCACCTGATCCCATTTCTGGAATTCCTGGGGGTCTGTTTTTTTATGTCCAGTTCATAACTTTGTATTGTTTGTAGATCTTTTGAAATCGATCACTGTTCGTTATCTTCACCTTTTTTATGTACATCTATTTTAACTTTAAATTCTAGAGTATATCAAGTGTCATTATGAACTTAAATGATAAATGTACTTGTATATCATAAGTCATGATGATTTTTATAAGCTTCAAATGACTGTCATGATGAACTTTTATTTGAGCTTAATATGTACCTTTACATTTAAACTGTTTTAACAAATTAAAGGGAAAGTATGCATGTGAAATTTAGAGGACTGAAATTTTATGTTGAATCACTGACTCTGCCGATGTTGCGTTAATTATGAAGAATTGACGTAAATATAGTGCACATGTAGAAGACATATCGTTTTTTAGAGTCAACGACACGGAGATTAGCTTATTTTGTATATACACCTACTGTAGGTGTGTATTGGATTAGTTTGAGTATAGAATAGGTTTCATTTATTCACTTCTTTCGCAAGAGTGTAATGCTCAAATCATTACGTTTGACAAAAAATTCTCTACAATAGTGGATTTCAATTTATGTTTGAAAAAAGCAAGGGGCATGGTCACAAAATATTGAATAAAGCTCTTCTAATGATTTTCCCCTCTCCCTATGTCATAGACGTATAGTTTTGCTTTATTTTATACTTTTCTGTTATGAAGTATTTTGTATCTTGCTATGAAGACAATTGAATGTATTGTTTTTCTAGATCGATGATAATTTCCCATTCTGCTTGATGTGTATGCTTTGAACATTATTAGTTTTTTATTCTTTCATTGCATACGACAATTGTATCATATTACGCTTACACCCAGTCATTTTACCCTCTCGGTCATGATACCTAATCAACATAAATTATACATACATACAGTGCTTCAAAATTTTACATATCTTTGACACAACTTGGTTTAAGGCTGAATTTACTGAAAGATTCTGCTTAATTTTTGTCTATCCCTTGTTTTCCAGTGAAACATCACGCTCTTTAAGGATGTATTAGACTGATTTGCAACAAAATTTAGCAGACATTATTCAAGTAACATTTCTCCACAGAAGCATAGAAAAACAAAATTTACACGACACAATGACTACGGATTCTATTATACATATATAATTCGGCAGATTTTAGCCATAGGGAACACAGCAATATTTTATCTAGGATTTTTCTTCTCCAGAAAATTAAAATTTGTAAATCATGAAACCAAAATAGGATTAGTGAAAAAAGATACAGATCTCCGAAATAATGGGGACTGAGAAACTTTGACATCGCAGGCAGTAAAATATATCATACATGTAAAGAAAAAAAAGATACATACTTCACTCTATGGATCTGAGATAAACAAAAGGAATGAATATTGGCTGTTATTCCATGCCCTATCAACATGTAGTGTACATGTACATGTAAAATCTCTGTATATCTTCTTATTTCATTTCATATCATAGCATTCCCATTCACGTACATACTAGACATCAAGGTGATTTACTTGAATTAAAAACATTTATCACAAAAGGGATGAAGTAAAATTGAGGACAAATAATGAAATTTCCAAAGTCTGAACAGTTCTTTTTCATATTTTCAGCCACTGTGGAATCAATTAGATTCGGGGGGTGGGGGTGGGGGTTGTTAGATTGCTATAAATATATGCTTGGTGACGTAAATTCGGTGGCAGACGTTATAGGATTCATAGATATTTGAATTTATTTAAGATTGTAAATTCGAGGATACCCACTAAATCTGTGACCATTCCATTCCTCATTTGAAAGTTGATTTCCTTATCTATAAAGTACTTTGTAAACTTAAGTTGTGCCTTACCGCTAAATACATATAATTATTATGAATTTTTCTGTTTGATCGTTTTGTTTGTTCTTCATCATAAATAGGCACTCATGAATGTTTAAGGCTCTTGCAATGAAATGGTTACAACCTCCTATGAACAACAAATTTTTGTATCAATTAACTGGACTACAATATTAATAATTAAATACATTTTCAGGTATCATTTGTAATTGTGTCACTATCAGCGCTAATTGTGTGCAAGCTAATGCGCAATAAGTTAAGATAAATTGAATAGTTCGCTTGCATTTATTGGTGCCAGAAAAACTAACATTGAAATAAAGTTAAATTCCTATATTTTTTTCCAGATAAATGGAGAGAATGAATACAACGTTGAAACCATCAGAGATTGTTAACAGCAGTGGTATAAATGCTGAAGATGGAGGGCCCATTGTGGCAGTAGTAGGAATGTTATCTTTCTTCAGCGTTATAGGAACAACAGGCAATGCTTTGGTTCTATACGTATACACACGAAAGCGCCACAAACTGGCTGCAACGGTTTTCATCATTTCACTTGCAACAATTGACTTAACGACATGTATTGTCGTTATGCCATATACAGTTATCATCGAATACCTGAAGTACTATGTTAAATACGATATATTCTGCAAAATGTATATGTTTTTCATAACTTCAAACGTTCCTTTTGCTGCATTTATTATGGTTGGTATTGCTTTTGATAGATACTTCTGCATAGTTCATCCATTTAAACACCTCATGAACGCACAAAGGGCAAAAATTATTACTGCGTCTATGGCAGTTCTTGCTGTCTCACTTGGGATTATAACGGCGTTGAACTACAGTGTCTATGACATTCAGATCTGTGGCGGTATTTCTAATACGACTTGTGTCAGGTATACTGGGGTTTGTAAAACGTCAGAGATTTTACTTCCGCATTCGTTCACATTGCATTATCAGAAACTATACACAGCACTCTTTTTCCTGGCCTTGGTAGTGGTCATTATTCTGTACGGACTTATTTACAGATCCGTTTTGATCCGTCGAGCCAAAAGAAGACGTCAGAGAAGGTCCATGTGTTCCTTACCACTTACAAAGGAATCCTGGTTTTCTGATTACCGATCTTCGATGATATCTAGCTTAAGAAAGCATTCAGATGAAAAAAATGAAAAGAACAACATTGATTCTGAACTTCTTCGACAGTTGACAATCCGTGAAAGGGGGCTTGTGGCCAATATCAAAACAGCTTTAATGTTATTTGTCGTAACAGCTGTTTTTATTTTAGTGTTTTTGCCTGCTTGGTTGATGGCACACCAATTAATCGGGTATAATCGAGTGATATTTTACATGTACTTTGCGTATAACGTAGCCAATCCTATTATATATGCTTTTATGAACAAGGCCTTTAGACGCCAGCTTAAAATTGTCTTCAAGTGCATGTAATGTCTGTTTTGCTGACAATGACACACTAACCGCTATCCCAAGCAAACAATTACATTCTTTCTTAAGAATAAAATAAATTGTTAATTATTTTGGTTCTTGTTTGTAAATACATCAGTTTATACGTTGTTTTTGAGTGGGGGGAATAATTGTATACTCAACTTTTACACGAGTTCTTCTACAGCGTACCTTCCTGTAATTTCTTCGAAAACAAAGAGTTACTGACGCCAAATAAATTGCCATCACTTTAAGTTCTTTATTTTGCAAACAATGCATATTGGAGGTTAGCTAGCGTTTACATTTTTATATAGGGAAATACCTTTTTTGTGAAATTATTGTCTCCTTGATGTTTCGTCAAGAAATAATAGATTTAACAGCAAATACATACTTTTGAAATCATAAACTATTAATAGCAAAGAATCAGATTACAACACACGTCACCTAGCATATGTTTTTGTTATATTTTAGTGCGACAGTGGTTAAATTTCGTATTACATATTATTGTGACGTTTTTTCGAATATCACACATTTTTTTCTGTTTGTTTTTTTAATATTGCTTACTTATTTGTGAATTTTCATTAATCATACCCAAAATGGCGTTCCATAATTAACTACATTACATAAAATTTCACCTGATAAATTTGTCAGTAAAAAAATCTTTCAGAGTAACTTTAAAATTGTAAAATATATATCTTTCCTCGTAACATTTTCATGATCAACAATGAAAAGAAGATTGGCGAAATGCCTGTATCGCGACAAACATGAAGGTAAAAAAGTAAATATCAATTATAACAAAATTTTTTGTTTAAAATATGAATACACAGATGAAAAAAAGTGAAGATAGAGAATAGTGGTCGATTTCAAATAAACCTACAAACAATACAATTCTGTGAACAGGATATAAAAAACGAAACTCAGGAAATTCACGTGGATTTGGTGCCTATACGAGGAGTAAGCATCCCCTGTCGATTGGTCATTCCCGCTCCCGTATATTAATGAAATAAAAACAAAGATGACATGCATTTAAAGTTTTAATTGGTGTCAGAATGATTTACAAAAAGATTCTTAAATTTTCAATCTTTATCTTAAAAAATATTCCATATTGATTTCTTTAATTGTAGTCCTCTCGGAGAGACCCTTCGCAGTCTCGAGTTTTCAAAGAAAATATTAAATTACGTTTGAGATGGTATCATGATAAAGAATACTGTCAATTAATTCATGCCTCTAGAACAGAATACATCTTCTGATAAAGATGACCTATTTAGTTTCTTTTCCTATTGTGATATTTCATTTCCATTGTCGACAGCCAAGTCTCTTGTTTTGCATAACTTTCAGTGTTGCTGCACGAGTTTTATCGATATATCAGCCACCGGTGACGGATAGAAATCGCTGATTTAGTGTTCCCCTATCGTTCTTTAATGACTTTTTTCTCACTTTTTGTTTTTTATTCGCTCTCAAAATTACTTGTATTTTGTAAGGTTTGTGCTTTCTTTGCCTTTGCTTCCAAACTAAAAATAAGTACAAACTAGAAAAGAAAATATGTTATTGCAAACAATATATATAATAGCATATGTCACCCCTAACTGACCACAGTCACTGGAAGTTAATGGAAATAAAGAGTATATGCACGTATAGAAAAAAGAAAGGGTAGGGCACTTATATTGAGGCAAATTCGGGTTTGAGGTATTGTGGATGTAATAGTATAGACGTTTTTACACCTCGAATTGCCTAAGAATTTTGCTTGACTGTTGTACTATCGGTTACAATCACAGGTAAATTTAAAGGTAAATTATGATTGGTCTTCATATATCTAAAAATTAATTCTTGAAATAAAAATAAGTAATTTGGAAAAAAAATGTCACTATAGCCATCTCATTCTGGATTTAAAAGTTGTAGAATTTTCTTAGGCAGATGTTTACTTTTGATTTTCATTTTCTACCGTTTGGTTTCTAACAGGAAGTATAGCAGTCTAGCAATGTGTTGTAGCACAGAACTTGTAAAGTTTCTTCTTACAACAGCTCATACTTTTTGTGAGGAGTAAGGTAGGGGCTTTGCAGAGCAGTTGCTTGAACCTGAAATGTATCTTTACCAGGATTTTATGAAGTTTAGGAATCCAGTATAGGTAGGGTATTGAACTCACTTTCGTAACGATGACTGGAATGTTATAATGTTTAAAAGACTGTGTGATTTTGAAAAAAATTATATACAAGTATAAATGTTTTGGTTTTTTCGACCCAGTTGTTCTAGAATAAAAGCTTTCAAAAATTATCAATTTGCTATTAAATTAGGGACATCGTCCTTCATCACACGAACGTGAATCGAATGCAAGATGCATATAGGCAAGTTTGATCCACTGGATCAGCGAGTACATGAATAACTGATTTATTAAACTGGTCCAGTGGTTCTTCTGTAGAAGCAAAAAGAATACATTATAGAGGAGGTACATTGTATTATAAACAAAAAATTAGCCCCATACAGGTGACTGCATCTGCTTTAATTATGAATGACTTACAATGATTGTGATTATTTGAAATGAAGAATACTTTAACTAGTGAAAAAAAACATGCATAAGTTTTAAGAGTTAGAATTCTAGGGAGACATCTTTCAAGAGAAGGTAGAAAAATTAAGATTATATATATATATATATATATATATATATATATATATATATATATATATATATATATATATATATATATATATATATATATATATATATATGAATAAATGATTTCGACAGACAGTTCTCTGGCTGCAAAAACCCCTTATTTTCATAGCGTCTTAAAGGCTATAAAAATCAAAATTCTTCTAAATAAGCTTTTATCAGACTAAACTACTAAAACCAAAAATCACAGTGTGATAATGATGCTGAAACAAGTGTATTCTAGACAACAGATCGCTTTTACGAAAACTGAGTGGTGAAACTGGAATGTCGTTAAGTGTATTAGCGTGATACATTGATCAAGTCCACGTCTATAATCAAGAAATATCAGATAGCCCCGGTTCTCTCTATTTTCATAAGAGATCATCATTGTCAGAAAGATAACCAATTGCTGATAGGGTGTTGAGGACATGGAATTTTAAGCATCCTTGAAATCACAAAGAACCAATAACTGTTCTCATAAATTTTTACAGACATAGGAATTGTCAATGTCATTTTTATCATGCAGGAAAGTATTTTCAAATGGTACCATTGATTTTACATTGATCTAGTAAAACTGCATTAATAAGCAAATGGTATTGAGAAGATAACATTTGCATATTTTTAATTTAAGGAGACAGTGGTAGTAATGGGAAAAATAAAGTGGCATGGAAATATCATTGGCATTTTCCTGTAATGATTTTATCCCCTTATGACAAGATATCTTTGAAAGATTTCATCAATACAAATATGTTTTTATGTTGCTGAATACAAGACGACTTGTATAGACTACATTGAACGTGGCGTTAAAATTAACTTTGTCAGGACACGATCGACATTAATTTGATTTGCAGCTGACTTGTACCTTGAGTAACCGAGTTATTTTTAATTAATATATTTCTCAAACATGAACCTTCTACGTTAATTGATTAGGAAGATAAAAAAGGGAGACTAAATACTATGAATCGATGTTAAAGTAATTCATTAGCCGCCAGCAAAGAAAACAAAGAATTCAATGCCAGTTTGTTCATCTAACGAGAAAAATGTCTAGCAGACTCTAAAAAAAAGTTAATAAATACAGATTCTTATATTATGTATATATGTAATTTTCCAATAATGGTTATATCATACTATGGGAAAAATAATTTGAGAGCGAGGACGCATCTCCATCTAATGTATGAAATAAAATGTAATATAACGTTGTAATATAATAATTATCTCTGTTAGATTTCCTGCTGATCAGTAATGATGAATTTATTAGAATTATGTTTATTATAATTAACCTAATTATGGTTATATGATCTTGACAAAATTCATTAAAACCGTGATGCTAAGATGAAATATAAGGGTATGCACAAATGATTGAACAATAATTTTTATTGGCCTTGCCCCTTGAGTTATGAAAAACTCGAAATTGGCGATGCATTGAGCCATCAGTTACTATAGCAAACTTTAGTTTACTAATTCATTATAGTGTCAATTTGAAAGTACATACTTTGATTTATTGTAATGAATACTATACTAGAGTGTTCAAAGGAACGCATGTGTGGGTCAAAGGTCAAGGGTACCGAGGTCGGTTACCATGGTAATTTACAAAAGCCATAGTGCCAAGCAATATTATATGTGTAAAATATCAAATCCATACCAATTATAGTTCTCGAGATATAGGGTGTGACATACGAACAGACAGACACAAAAAAAATCTTTAATTTAAAAACTTTTACGCGTTTATTACTTTATAATACAAACATTTACTTTAATAGTAAACTATGATAGTACACAATATTCAAGTTAAGTATTCTGTCAAAATACACCTTTTCATTTACTAAAGTAAATGCTACAAAATTTGATTTACTAAATTAAATACTCTGATTTACTTTAAGTTAAAACTTTGAGGTTTAGATTCACAACATGTAGTAAAAACTTTGAAAATTTGATTTACTATTATAAAAGTGATACTATGGATATTCAATTTATTGATGTTATTCTTATTTTACTTTAACTATATGATACTTGAGATTCCTTTATTAATTTTTTGTATAGAAATTAAATCCATTCTTTCAAAAAACAACTAATTTGTAACTACATGTAACATACATCATGCATGGAGCAAAAGTCAGGAATAATTAAAGGTATTTACAAATACATGTTACCGACTGATTGTCTAAACTTAATTAGAACAGTTTGATGATACTCGCTAAGGTTAAGTACACAGATGCTGTTATTTCGTGACCGATGATACTAAGGTTAAGTACACAGATGCTTTCGTTCTATTCCATTTAGATGCGACCGATTCTTCTGTAATTTGTAGTGATGCAGAAAATCTGATGACTCTGGGAATAATATTTTTCTCTTTCTGTTTTCGCACGTATGAATGGAGAGATCAACATTTGTTCTAC